TGGTCATGTCCGGCACATTGACCAGCTCCAGCTTTACACCTTTGTGCTTCTCACTAAAATAGTCGACCAAGTATTGGTGCTTCTCAGCATTCCTCACTGCACCACGAACATTGTATCCTCTCTTTAGCAGTTGATCAGTGATATGGCTTCCAATAAGACCATTGACACCTGTCACAAAGACAGTAGTCCCAGCTTCGAGCGCAAGAGTAGGCATAGTGGGGCAAGAGCTCCCAAGTGTGATAAGGGGGCGGGGTCCACAAGGTATGTAGAAAAGGAGTATGGGCAGAAGTGGGCAGTGATTTTTCCGAAAGGAAACTGGAATTCAGTTGCCAGATTAGAGAAGAGTTTATCGAATGCGATATCTGAAACTGAATACTTGCAAGATGAGAGATTAAATACGTTTGTGGAGAGCATCAAGGTCGCCAAATACTAACTGTGTTAGGAAAGGCGTGTTCGCCTGCATGCTGAAGGATGGTGTGCTTACAGATAGGATCCAGCATCACACCTCGGTTTTACCCTATCAGCGAGCATTGTTACTGGTAATTTCTTGGATTGAAGCTGACGAGCAGTAGTCCAGCTTGGATATCTTATGACGTAGAGCACGTGGCTTCGGATGAAAATGGACTGCTCTCGTTGGAAGAAATGTCGTGAAATATAAAATGTAGCAATTTACCATAAAAAGAGTTTGTACTGATAGACTAATGATCAAGTGGTATTTGCCTATTGGGTTTATGTAATTTTGGCATAGCCATGCAAGAGGATGAGACCACCTGCCGGTTTTGACGTTTCGACGTGATTGGTAAGGGACATGATTTGTAATGTAGGTATTGAAGCAAAAGGTGTAGATAAATCGACTTTGGTGATTCCGTTTCATTCAAGGTTAATCCTTGCACTGTTACCTGAATATTTGAGGGACTCAGGACTTTGCTTAGTCGGATGATGCATTTCAGGCGCCCCGAAACAGAATGCAACGAATTGGTCAGCCACAGTCTTGACCACGCCTTGGCCAAGTGTGCGGAGTAAACGTAAAGCCGTGTAGACTGAATTTCAGTAAGTACAGTAAACTTTTATTCTTCCTGAGAAAAACCGCTTCCATGGGAGTTTTAGTACTGAGGCACTTCACAAGTTTTAGCCTTGAATCTGGTAGAGAAACAAAATAATCTTGCATTGCTTTCTTTCTAACATGCAAGATATTGCAGTGGACTGTAGCCTGAAATAACTCCTTAGGATAGTGCGTGCCATGCGCGTATAGTATTAATATTCTACAATTAAAGACAGAACGGCGCATGTAGCTTTTTGCATGGATTTTTAAACAATGGCGATGATCATATTTACAGCTTTCCTCTGCTCTTCTCCGTCTCTTCCTGCAGCACCAATCCAACAGGACCACCACGGCTTCCATCACCCGGCCACTGCTCCTCAGGAATGCGCTCGGTGGGCCAATCCCAAAGGCCCTTGAAGTCCTCAGGTGTTCGACCTTGCAGACATTCTACAATGCTGTCACCAATGACGGGCAGAAACTTGAAGCCATGGCCTGAACCACCGGTGGCAACAAACAGACCGCTATACTTGGGGTGATACGATATCAAGAAATCGCCGTTCCTTGTGTCTGTGTACCAGCAGATCTTCGATTTGGTAAACGGCCGTGAGGGCGTAGCAATCGAGGGATGTATTGCCTTGAGAAAGTCGCGACATTGGCGTTGTCCCTCTACCGGAACAGCTTGTGTCGGGTCGTCAACACCTGTGTAGGGCAACGATACCGTGATTGTCTCATTCGGATCGTTTGACTCAGGATGCGGAATGGTCGTCGGATTAAGGTAGCCATGACCGTGGCGCGCCACCTTGAGCAACTTCTTAGAGGGTGGAATCATGAAAAGTCCATGTGAGAGATTCAAGAGAGTTGGCCTGTTAGCCATTTTCGCTTGTTCTTCCTCAGATATTGGCATGTAGCATATGGCCTGCCCGGTCGCTTTGCAGATGCCTCGGAGATCTATGAGCGACGCTGTCCATGCGCCTGCTGCCAGTATTGTCAAGTCGGCCTTCAGCTCACTTGAATCGTTAAACCGAACGCCAGACACAGTGTTGGTCTTATGGTCGATCAACAACTTCTTCACCGGCTTAGTGACGAACTTGACTCGGTTCAAACTCTCGACCTTCTCCCGCAACCAAATCATGGCACCCTCAGCATCAGCCCAGCCAGAACTCCAGTTGACATATCCTGTGGATCCGTTGCCCCATGGAGCATTGCCTTCCAGACCACATGCTCTTTGTATTTCTTCAGCCGAGCTGAGGACCTCGACCTTGTCTGTTCCTATCGCCCGGACATTTGCCAACGATTCTGGCACGTACTTTTGTTCCGGCCCCCAGGCAGTTACACACAGTCCGACTTCATGGTAGTGTTCCGTCGCAAAATCGGTTCGCCAGCGGTTCTGCGCAATAGTTGCTAGGCGGGTATAGCGCGCGGCGGCATAGTCGGGGCGTATAATTCGCGAGGTATCAATCTATTTGTGCTTTTATGAGCGCTTGGTCTTTGTGGTGAGGGCCTTATGCGACGATCGAAAAAGGTTGCTTGGTAGAGTGCATGGGTGCCATGTTGAATCGCTGTACTTACACTCGAGCCGTCGGGTGCAGGAAAGGGCTGTCGGTCTACAACAGTGATTGAAGTATCTTTGTACTGTGGGTTTCGGCATAGAGAGTAAGCAGTTGAAAGACCAAATGCACCACTTCCGACGATTAGAATGGATGAAGGTATATCAGAGACTGTAGAGGGAGCCATTGCGCACAATCTTAAGGGGAACTATCTGCAAAACAAAAAAAAGACAAAAAACAAAAAAAGCACGAAGAAGAGAGGTACAAGAAGATGTTGGACTCACAGACTTGAAAAAACCCCGACCAACAGCCGCTAGTAGGCCGATATCGTCGACTGATTAACGGCAGGTATCGGTTATGTATGGGCCGACCCTCATGGCTGCAGGGCGCTTTGACACTAGACTACTCCCGACCGATTGGATCGCGCGTCAAAAGATTTGAGGCTCCAAGCCAACATTTGCTGGCTTCAGCAATTGAAAACCAACCACACTCGCCACGTACTCGATCGATAGACATTGGCGCGCCATGGCGAAGCTGCCGAAACCTCCCAAGTCGTTTCCTATAAAATCTACCATACCGACGAAGCCTGCCGCACCACTGTCCAGGCGATTTCCCCGAACGCAGCCGACCGCTGAGCACCTGCTACGAGCACCCGAGAACCAGACACCCGAACAAGCAGCCAAGAGAGTATGGGCGGCACGGCCAAGGCTGTCTGATCTCCAGCGGCTGTCAGACGAGGAGTTGAGGTCGGCGCAGCACCAGGCCAAGCTGCGACAATGGAGACAGTGGCCCATGTTCGGCATTGGCCTGATCGCATTCGGGATGGGCACATACGCAACAATGCTCTGGACATCGCTGACTCATGAGGCCGACTTGAAAGACCTGCCGGCTGATCTTTCTGATCGGTTTGACAAGGAGGCTGAGGGGTATGACGAGAAAGTGGATACATCGGAGATGCTACTCTTCTTAACTCGGAAGCGCAAGAAGCTCACGGCCATGGCAAAGGGACACGTGTTGGAGGTGGCCGTGGGCACAGGCAGGAACATACCCTATTACAAGACGAAGCAATGCGCTACGGTAACGCTGCTGGACTCGAGTGGGCCTATGCTGGAGGTTGCGAGGCGGAAATGGAACGACACGCACAAGGAGTACTTTAGCCGCGTCTTTTTTAAGCACCAGTCAGCGATTGATCCAATAACGCCTCCGTATGGCGCCCAAGATGGATACGACACGGTGTTGCAGACGATGGGGTTATGTTCGACGCCGGAGCCCGTCAAGCTACTGCAGAATCTAGAAGCGTCGACTAATGAGGATGGGCAGATACTGCTTCTGGAGCATGGAAAGTCGCATTACGAGTGGCTCAACAAGATGCTAGATAAGACGGCCCCCGCACATGCCGACGAGCATGGCTGCTGGTGGAACAAGGACATTGGCAAGATTGTCGAGGAGAGCGGTTTGGAGGTTGTCGAGATGAAACGCTACAACTTTGGCACGACATGGTGGCTCCAATTGAAGCCGAGAAAAGGCATACGGCAGAAGCGGACTACAGCAGGTTCAGGTGAGCAGCCGGCCACTGCACAGGCCGGGCCGGCAGTCGAACGCAAGCCATGGTGGTGGCTGTGGAGTTGAATACATAACCGTCCGTCTCGTCATGTCCACCCCGCATTATCGAGAGTGGAGACCTGGCACTACTACTCTTGCTATCAGACACAAGGCATGTGCATGCAATGCTCAGTCTGGACTACTCTACGGCTACGTACAGCTACGCATGCGTACCCGCAGGGGCGCTGGGACTGGGTCGGCCAGGCCAGGCAGCTTTTGTTTTTGCCCAAGGTGACGCAAGGCTTGGGCATGGCTGAGATGAAGGAGGGGCACGACCGGATGCGGTAATTCCAGGATGGCGACCGAGAATCGTCACTTGGGGGGGACCCAACAGCAGGTGAAGCGAGATCTGCGGTTGGGATCATGGGCAATGCACAAACGATCGCGTCACCATCACTACTTTGCAAGCGCACGGCGGCTCATCCAAACTTTGATATGTTTTACCATCAAGTCACGCCATGTTGCTTCGCGTGCTTGAGGCGTGGGCGGGAGGCCCGTTGAGCGGACAGGGCATGGAGATGAAGCTGCGTAATCGAGCACGCAACAGCCGTCTGACTCGACGTGTTGGCATGTGGAAAGAAGCAAACAGACATGCGTCTTCACCGTCTTTCACGACTTGCCAACTGCCTTATCCAGCCCGCACTTCGTCTGGGGAAGAAGCATAGTGCATCCGCAAAACTGTGTGCCCGCAGCCCAAGTGCGGCGCCAAACCTTCCAGTTCCCCACAAAAGGTGACGCTGAGCTGCGCATGCAGGCCAGGCTTGGCGGCATGCGCCTAGCCCAATGGGGCAAGGATGTCTGCATAGCCCATGTCGCATCATCCGAAGTCATGGCAACTCGCGTGCGCAATGTTTGGGGCACTGTCACCATATTACCCCCCCTCCTCCTGCTCGTCGGTGCGGGCATTGCGTGCGACAGAGGCGCCACGACGCCCATTGCTGGAGCCAGGCACACACACACGCACGCGGGATATTGGCAGCTCGTACGAAGCCGTGGCGGTCGTAGTCTCGTCGTGGCTAGTGCACTGTAGCAACAACGCTTCTCCGTGCCGGCAGCGCCTCTCCGTTCACATGTGGACGTTGCCGAGGACTGGCCGCATGGCCACAGCGAAAAGTTCCGTCAAAGAAAAATTCGCGAAAAAAGTGCGCTCACCGCCCTGGGGCATCCCGGCTCCATCGTTGAGGCTAAATCCACTTTTGCAACTAGACGAAACCTCTGGACAGGGATGCTCGCACGCTGGAACTGGATGATATGCACGCAGCATCAGATCATGGAAAAGCGTCCAACCAGCCGCGACGTGGCCGTTGGAAGGCCTGGAGAAGGCCATCAATTGAGGCGGTCAGCTGGCGGGACAGCTGTGACGACCCGCCCGTGTGCAGGCAAGAGGGATGCCAATGCCAATGGGGGGGCGGATGGGGGACGTCAACCACGGCGAGATTGACACCCGTCGCGGAGGTTTATCGGCTACGACGCATTCCCACAAGCATGGTTTAGCAAGGTCCACTTATCTCGTGCCCGGCGCGAGATGTTAACAGATCCAAGCTTGACACAACAAGAGGGGCAAGCCGTCAATGGCAACCGTGGGATTGGCCAAGCCCATGCCTTGTGAACAAGGCGTGAGGGCAGCAGAGCCAGCAAGCAGGCAGCCGGTGAAGGCAGGCCTGGAGGGGCGACTACTCTACTTTTGCCTGGCTACTGGAGACAATGTACAAGTAGGCAGTACGTTGCCGCGTGGTACATGCGGGCGGCCACGGCATCTTGTTAGGAGCGTAACGCTCTAGCCCCTGGCCAACAAAGCAAAAACAGGCTCTAAAAGTAGTATGCTGTCATAACCAGCCTGAGCATTACTGGACTGGGTACATTCACCCTACCAGCAGCGCACGGTCTCCTGCCCGAGCCTAGTCGCTCCTTCTTCACCCAGTTGCTCCACCACGCCTCCGACCTTTCCCTCCCAAACATCCCCCTCTTCCCACCACCCCTCGAACTCCATCAGGGACCATTGTCCATTGTGCTTGCCCGCGTCTCGCCCCTTGCCTCTTTCTCTAGTCCTCTTTGCTTGCTGTGCTGTTGCGGCGACACTTTGCTGTGCTTGTTGCAACCTCTCGTTGCCGTCTTCCTACTAGAGGCAAAGCCTATTTGCCATCGCTGCCTTGCCTATTTGCTGCCTTCAGGAGGCAAGTTGCGTAGCTGCGACGACACGAGTGCCACCCTCAGCATTCACCCACTACCACCTCTACCTCTACCTCCACCACCGCCACCACACCCAACGACGACCATCCCTCCTCCTCCTCCTGCTGCTGCTGCTGCCCACAGTAATCAGGCGCCCTCCTCGACGCCATCCCTGCAGTGCAGAAAGAAAGTTGCATATTTCAGCGGCAGCGCTTAGTGGCATAGGCTGTAGTGCATTCCTACCGGACCAATCCACATCCCTGAGCCTTCTCGCAGTCACCAAACACTTGTGGCTGCACACCCATTACCAGCCTTAATAATATATCTTTCTCCCTGCAAAGGCTACCCTTTGTCTTCTTCTCTTCTCTTACCGCTTGCGCAACTGTTGCGACCGAGTCGCTGCGACAAGATGCCCTACAACACCCGCCGCAAGTCCCTGTCGCTGCCGTCGCTCGGCATCCAGCTCCCAGGAGCGCCCCGAACGGTGCGCTCACCGCCTTCGACAAGCGACGGTCAGCACGCCGCAAAGAAACAGAAACGCTCACATTCGGGCTCTCTCTCGTCCTCGCTTGCATCACCACCACGCCCATCGGCGCTGCGTATCGACGAGCACCGACCCAAAAGCTCAGGCCGCGTCGCCGACACCCCGCCACCGTCACCAGGCGGCGAGTCCGGCACCGCCAAGATCGACACCCAAGGTATCGATGACGAGATTGTTGTCGGTGTTATCGAGCAGCTCGAGAAGACAGGCAACCGTCCTCATTTACTCAAGGAGCTTGCCCTTGTCCTGTCGCCCATCATCCCCATTGTCGAGAGGTACGTACCCAACCTTGGCGCGTGTTCATAATTACTTATGCTGATATGTGCGCTAGCTCTGCCAACCCAGCAGCCATCATCTCATCACGTTTAGCCACATACCTCAAGCGCAATTGGACCGCGTTATCGAGATGTCCCCTCGACAAGAAGCTTGTTGGCACGCACCCAAAGCGTGTCTACTACTTCCTTTCCACACGCCCACACCAACCGATTCCTGCTGACGGGGGTAATGCCCCAATCGCACCGCGCATCGTGACGCCGTCACTTTCGTCTGCTACATCGGAAGAAGAAGAGGATATGGACGCAAGATCACGAGATCGCATGTCGCCGTCTCCAGAACTCGACCTCTCCGACTACGACAGCAACGCCAGCGACCCCTTTTCCAACCAGACTCATCCTCCTACAACCGCCAACATTTCACACAACCGCCGCGCCCAATCTCCTCCGTTGGAAAAGGACGAGCGCGAGTTCACCCAGACTGCGTCGTTCCTTCAACAACGCCGGATGAGCCAAGAAGCGGAGCGTGCACGATCTGCCAGCGCATCTGCTGAGCCGACACAAAGCAGCGATGTGAAAATGGAAGAAATTGCCGCCTCGGTCGAGGAGACGGTTGAAAGCGCCGCCCGCAAAGACTCGGAAGCGGCGGCCACTCTTTTTGGCCAAATGGATCAGGTTGTGAGCTACAACTCTGCACTCTCGCCCAGCAGCCCTGCACTCAGGCCTTCGCTCCACATCGACATGCCACCACCATCGCTCAAGCGTAAAGAGATAAAACTCGAGCTTGACGATGACTGGGTCATGAAGAGCCCGGAGCTTATTGATCTGGACGAGCTTGATGATCTTTTTGGTGGTTATTAAACCATCAGCCGAATCTGCGCTTTTTCAGCACACGATGTTTACGATTCTCCTGGGACATGTTCTCTCATCTACTTCGACTATATTCATTGTATTCTCACCTCATTGTCGTCTTTTCTTTTATGGCTCTTTTACAGCGCGTATGTCCTAGAAGGATTCGTTTTGCCGCTCGCGCTGCATTCATTATGCACTCTAGGGATGTTGGGATATCGCATGGAGTTCTTGAGATGTGGGAGTCTAGGAAGGAATTCTGTACGATAAGTGTAGAGTGTGTTTGTTGCGACGGGCGCGGAGGCGCCTGGCTGATGCGCTGGATTGTTACTTGGCGTGGGAATTTGTGGAGCAAAAGGGTGTGGGCAAACATGTGGCACTGTTGCCACCCGCCCCGCGTGACGAGCAAATGGGTGGAAATGGAAAGGAACAGGACCGCTATATAAAAGCTCTTGAAATTGGAAAAACAGTTAATATGCTTCAACATTTGGAACCTTTTGCCAACGCGGCTGTCACGGTGTTTGCTTATTTGCTTGTGGCTGTAAGTATGTAGGCATGTACGGGATTGTTGTCGCCAAAGCTTGGGGGGCCGGGCTCCGTTACTATCCACGTACCGCTTGCTCACCGCCCGACTTGTATGATTTCTGCACCTAAGACTACAGTACACCTGGCATTGGTCTAATGCAGAACAGAGTGGAAAAATTGGGCCCTCACCGGCAGGTCTACTTGTGCCCAATGCGTGCCTCGATCTGACCCAGACGGTCCTAGCCTCAGAGGGGAAGGGAGCTTATGATTGGCAACGTCTGATGGACAAGTTGCGGTCGAGGGCGATGTGCTGGAGACCGCCTCACTTTCCACCAACAGTACACTACACCGAGGGGTGAACGCTGTACAAGCAAATTCTCTGCATACCCGTCGACGGTTTTTCTGAAAAGCTCAGGACAATTCTCCATCTTGTGCAATCGCCTGTTCGCAGAAAAAGAGGCTGGGTAAGCGAGTCCAATGACTTGGGCACCCCAGCCTACAGCAAAGCTTTGAAGCCCAGCCCAACCTCACGGCGGTAACAATAGTGCGCTGTGCGCGCCGCGTCACGTCCGCTCTACCACCTTTTTTTCCCTTATCGACTCACCAGGCCCCTTCAATCCGCGCCTCCTTTGTGCCCTGCGTCAAAGTGCTTGTTGCGGGCTCACAGGGCTGCTGAGGTTCCGGACTGTCTCGCTTACTTTGCGCCGGACCAGTCTTCGCACTTGGTCACGGAAACAACTGGCCTGAGCATTCACCACACAGCCCTCCGGTCGCATCGTTCAAGGTTGGGTGGCTAAAGGTGAAACACTTTTCCTCATAGACTCTTCACGTGGCATACGCGAATTGGACCCTGGATACCGACAATCACACTGCTGCTGCTGTCCCGCAGAAAGCCAACACAGCACCCTCGATCATCGACGCCCGGCCATACAAAACCACGATCAGCCGCGTTGCCTGTCAGCAAATCACGCCGCCGTCGCAAGAGACTTCGCCATATTAACATCGTTGCCTCTCCTTGGACCAGGCCTTCATCCAATCTTCCCTGCAAACAACTACCTTTTTTTCTTAAAAAAAATACACACACACGCACATTTACAGAGGACTCGTAACATAAGGAACAAAATGTCGGTAGCCATGTCACGAGCCAGAAGCAGAAGTCGGGCGCCAAGCACCAGAGCGCCCCTGAACTCATCACCAATTGTAGTGGATATCCCACGAAGCGGCGCAAAATCGCCCCTCATTGTCGATGTACCCGCCACCCCGAGGACAAGAAGTAGGAGCAGGGGCAGAGTTGAGCCGGCCGTGGATGCGCCTGGATTGAGTGGCGGCAGAGGAATGTTCAAGAGGCTGATTGTTGCTTGTGACGGCACTTGGCTTAATTCGGACGACGGAACCAAGAATGGCACGCTTTCCATCCCCAGCAACATCACCCGGATCTCACGAGCTATCAAAGCAGTCAGCCAAGACGGAATCCAGCAAATTGTAAATTATCAACAAGGTCTCGGCACCGAAGGTGGAAAGATTTCTCGTCTTGTTGGAGGCGGCACAGGCAAAGGCCTTGCTGAAGATGTTCGGGAAGCGTACTCATTCCTTGCAAATAACTATCATCCAGGAGACGAAATTTTCCTACTCGGATTTTCCAGAGGCGCCTTCACTGCACGCAGTATTGGTGGATTGATTGGAGAAATAGGTCTCCTTACCAAAAAAGGATTGAATACTTTACCAGAAGTATATGAAGACGTCCAAAACCGAAGGAACGAGGACTACCGGCCAAAACACGAAGACATTCCATTTCCACGGAAACCAAGCGCCGGGGATCCACGATATGCGGAAGAGTTGGAACGCCGGGGCCTGACCAGACTCGACATTCCGATCAAATGCATTGCCGTATGGGATACAGTCGGAAGCCTTGGAATACCCAGAATTGGCATACTGCAGCGTGCAGGTCTGCAGTCGAAGCAATCAAAAGCAACCACGTTTTACGACACCAAACTTTCCAATTGTGTGGAAAATGCATTCCAGGCTCTTGCTCTGGACGAGACTCGGTCGTCATTTGCACCTGCTATCTGGGAAAAGCCCGAGGGTAACCGCACCACGCTCCGCCAAGTGTGGTTTCCAGGTGCGCACGCAAACGTAGGAGGCGGTTATGATGATATGCAGATTGCCAATATTAGTCTTGCGTGGATGATGAGCCAGCTGGAGCCATTTTTGGATATGCGAGGCGAATATTTGTTCGAGCAGGATGACCTCAATGAGAAGTACTACAAGAAAGAAGAGGGTGCCATCCGGCCATGGAGTTTTGGTAAAATCTACAGCGAGCTCAAGGGGGCTTTTGCACTTGGTGGAAGTTCTGTAGGTTTCTTTCTATTTTTTATGGTTTTGCGAAGTTTGGCTGACACATACGAAAGCAACGCAAACCTGGTCAATACACTGCAGTCGACCCATATACGGGTCGGGCGACAGACCGACCTCTGCGACAGACCAACGAGTACATTCATCCCTCGGTCCGCACGCGATTCCGCCTAGAAGGCCCTGGAGTGCAGGACCGGGGCTTGTACGAAGCGCGGGCACTGACAGACAGTTATAAATTGGTGGTTGACTACGGTTCGAACAACTCGCGCGCCGGTGACGCCGAAGTTTTCTGGAAGATCAAGTGGAGAGATGTCAACGCAGTCAAAGTGCTGCCGGAAGCACCCTTGTGGAGGCTGGAGCGAGAGCTCGCACGGCGGGATCCGGCCACATACGACTATGTGAAGAAGCCACCAGCGACGAGCTCGACCAAGAGCAAGCGACGAGCGCCACGGCCAATGTCAGCTGATTTTTCAAACTCCAAAGTAGGTGGACTGGGCAGCCCTGTCTCGCCCCGAAAGAGTCGTAGAGAAACTTTCTCACCAAGATCCACGTTTCCAGTTGACGACAAGCCCCCAGCGCGGAGGAGCAGTACGAAGATGGACCGAGCGCGGAGTCGCAGCCGCGCGCGGAGTGTTGAATTTGCCAGCGATCGCGAAACGGATATCCGAGAAAGTATGCCACATCGTCGGGAGAAGGACAAGGCATGGTGGGAAGGCAAAAGATAAGGAAATGTTTGAGAAGAAACGAAATGATACTATAGCAGACTTCTTTTGAGAGGGAAGAAAGGAGAAAATGTACTTTTGAGTAGACGGGGGTGGTTGTTGGGATATAAGCGGATACCCTTTATTTTGGTTTCTTTTTTTTATTTAGATAATGACCCTTTTTAAACAGACCCAGCAGTATATAGTATACAGATATTTTAAGGTTTAACGTATTATTACATGGGTTTGCGGATATACTTTTTGCCAAGACATTTATCAGAATACACACACTCCACTTCACTACCACTCTCTAACAATAACTTGAAGCCATGGGATGAGTAACAAGAACGATCTTCTCCGTCAAGACAGAAGGAGAGATTGAAGATTAATCGACGTCCTCCCAGTCAATCGCTTGAGACCAGCAAAACCCCAAGACCAAGTGCCTCCATAGTGAGCACTTACTACTAGTACAGTTCGGAGCTGGGTCAATCTTATCTCCGACTTCACATGGCGCCGCATGACCGAGAACCCAGCCCGCCCAAAAACGAGCCACCGTTTTTTTTTAACTACGAAATGTCCATCCCCGCCACAACATCCTAAACAGAAGAAGAAGAAAAGAAACTAGGCTGGATAAATACGCCAACGCTATACTGATACGCTTATGTACATGCCGAGTATAGTACCGCCAGAGAATACAAACACTTAAGCCGTATGTTCATCCAGTTCAGAGCTGGCGCAATCTTATATCCGATTTCATCGGTCGACCCGAAAAGACGTCCCCGCGTTGGAAGGTGATGATTACAGCGGGGGATGGATGGCAGATCATGTATCTTGGCCTTTTTCCCACATAAAGAGGTGAAGAGGTATCCCGCTAAAGAGAGGAGGGGGATGTCATGGTTTTCCCTCTCCCAAATCTCCTGCGAGAGGAGAATGGTTGTTTTCGTTGGGGGGGGGGGTGTCGGGGGGATTGGGATGGGAAGGTAACGTGAGTATGAGGCGTTTGGATGAATGGCGTTGTTTACGACTGGCTTTGTCGTTGAGGCTTACAGACTCTTCCTTGTGTTTACACGGATCGATGAATTGTATACTTTGTTCTAAATTTGCGGTCAAAAAGTCAAACGTGGTAACGTGCATCCCTTCGTACCGGAACAACCGGTGTGGCGGAACACTATCTCTTAAGCAAGCAGATAAGACACAGAAAAACTTATTGAAACATATTCATAGTGCCTTATTATCTTCACGTGCACATATTCTACACATAACTAGTTCTCAGATAGAAAAATACACAGTAGTGCGGCTGTAGGACGTCAATCTGCTGGCGGCGACATCTCGCGCCTCAGCTGGCACCTGAGTCTACGCAACTATTTTGATCTAAATTCTATCTTCGGTAATATTGGGCAATGCCCTAGGTATCATGGTTTCAGATTCTTGTCTCAAAATGCCAGATAATGATCTGTGGTGTTTATCAGAAAGTTTCTCCGCCGCCCCTAGAGCGATTGGCAAAATCCGCGATGAGAAGTTAGCGCAACGAGCCCAGCTTTGTCATCTGTAATAAATATTCACGTGACTTTCTTTCTCGTTAGTCATGTGACCTTTGCTTCTAGTGCCTTCTATCAGTCTTTGTTCTATTATTAGCAAAACGTGAGAAACGTCCAAGATCGGGACATGCACTCGGTAGAGGAAGCTGTGATGTATACTGCGGTAACCATGGACCCCGCCAGTCAGACACTAGCCTTAGAATTGCCCCCCAATGTGTGTAAGAGTATCTCTGTTCAAGCTACACATAGTAATATTCCTTGCACTACCGTTCATTATTAGCACAGAGGAAAGCTGTATCTAGCCCTCTATAGCTCTAGAAGCTGTTCAAATGCCACTGGATTCCAGCAATAGCTTCATACTTCTATCCCAGCGTCCACGATCGAAGGTGTCTAGATGGCGAGCTTTCCGTGCTTGGTCTGCTGCATGCTGCAGCACTGTTTTTCCAGACGCGTCCTTTGTATCTATCTTAATGCCAACAACATGGACAAGATAATGCAAAGATTCCTTGGTAAGATATCCGCTTATCGCAAAATAGTGCAACATTGTCTTGCCCTGCAAGTCTTTCTGTGTTAGATCGACACCGTGTTCCTTTAGCATCTCTAAAACTTCAACCCTGCATCTCCAAGTTAAAGCACCCAAGTGTCCTAGGTTTTGTCCATTTTTGTCGACAAATAAAGCGTTTCCTTTAACCAAAAGCAATGGTTGACAAATTTCGGCATATAGTGCACCCCGCCTTGGTCGTTTGAAGTAGCTCGCCAACGGTGAGTTGCCAGATGCATCCAACTCTGAACCATCTACCCCCTTGTCGAGCAGCAACTGGATTGTCTCATGCCGAACTGCAGACGTAGAAAGCAGGTGGTGGAGCGAGTTTCTACCCTGATTATCCTTCGACGCCACTAGGCTTGGTCTTGTTGCCATAGCTGCTTCTAGAAGAACACTGATTGTTTCATGGTCACCGCTTCGTGCAGCGTAGTGAAGAGCATTGAGCCCCTCGTTGTCCGTTAAGGCGGGGTTGACTCCCAGCGAAATTAGAACAGCAACCGCGTCGTGGTCGCCAGCTCGACTGGCAAGGTGCAGTGCGTTTTGCTGCTTTAAGTTCCTTTCCAACGGATTCGCTCCTCTAGATACTAGTTTACGGATTATCGACACACTTCCAGGCTCTCTATACCTAATGCAGTGCAAAGGGTAGTTATATTGATAGTCTCTAATCGCCAGACTAGTCCGAGTATCTGCGAGCAGAGCATCAAGCACACCTTCGCGATGCTCTGCTATATTCGCAGAAATTTCATCAAACTCGTCTTCTTCAACAATTCCCACGAGCTCCCACAGGCTTTCTATCCAGAAATCTTCGTTGGCCCAATCGTCGTTATATCTTGGTCCATGCAGGGCTTTACGCAACGTGAGATGCATCGGGGACTCGTTGTATCTGGACAAAGCGTTCGGATCAGCGCCACGCTCTAGAAGGAACTTAGTCATGACTAAATTGCCAGTTAGGGCTGCAAAGTGTAAAGGTGTTAGGCCAGCTGAAGTGCCCGGAATGTCGGGCTCGGACTCCGAGACTGATGATTGGTAAAAGGTGTCGGTCTTCAAAGTATTCCGAGACCACGACTTTCGATGGACACCGACATTAATGGACAGACTATTGTCAAGAAGCAATCCTATTGTAGATTTGTGGCCGTGCTTGACGCAGTAATGCAGTAGAGTCATGTTGTTGATATCGGTCGTGTCTCGCGAGGCATCAGCGCCGTTGTTGAGTAAGAGCTCGACAATAGCTGTATGGTTCTCAGCTGCAGCCGCATAGAGAGCGTTGCTATAGAGACCACCCTGCTTGTTAGCATCAGCACCATTATTAAGGAGCAGCTGCACTATTGACTAGTGACCTGCAGCTAAAGCTGCCTGCAGTGCGTTATTATACTCTCCGCCCTGCGCGTCAACGTCGGCGCTCTTGTCAAGCAGCAGCTCCACTATTCTTTGATGTCCATGTTCTGCTGCAAGATATAGCAGAGTCTAGCCCTCGCTATCTCTTCTTTCTAATATTGATGCCGTCTCTCCTACTTGGTTTAGGAGCAAGGTCTCTAATACAATGGCTAATCTGAAACGTGCTACAAGATGTAATTCTGTGCTGTTCTTGGGATATCTCTAGCTATACCCCTAATATGTATATTTTGGTCGTAAGAGCACCTGCACAGCGCAAGAAACCAATTCTTTGCAAGAAAGAAATGAGCAGGCTAGCTCACATATCTCACCCTCCGCTGTTAACGCATGCTCTCCCTAGTACTTGGCAGCATAGTCTAAGAATTAGCTTCCTCGAAGCCTCTCTTCAAATTCTTCGTCAGAGGAGCAGCTCCCAGTTTTAAATATGCTTAATGATAGGTACGTGAGACATGTCGAGGCTATGTATTGTTGAGCGCCTGGATTCCATGCATCTTGGATACGTTCGAAATATTCTTGAGTGGTGTAATGCACAAGACGGATGATAGCACTTTCTTGGTCAACGACGACCAGTCCAGCACACACGGATAATAAGTCCTTAACATTAAGTATGTTCTCGGGATCGAGCTCCTTCTCGTCCGTCTCTACTGCCAGAGCACAGCAGATCTCTGCCGCGGTAAGCGGCCGTTTCGCATACGTGATCCACGACAGTACTCTTTTGGCTAGTTCGAAATCTCCGCTTAATTGGCCCTTTATGCGTTGAATTGCCTCCTTGTATGCGTCATCAAGTGCGGCTGAGCCTTTGGAGAGCTTAGCTAGTGTTGACTTCACGCCCTTCGCCGTTCTCTTGTCTCGCAGCGAATCAGTGTGGAGGCGAGCAAGAAGAAACCTAAGAACGTGTAAGTCCGCGTCATATTACGAGTTGGTTAGGACAAACATACATGCCGTCTACCGCCTCTACGATATTTTCCTGGACAGACTCCTGTAGCATAGGGTCACGTTGAATACACTCTGGTAGTCGACATATCTGGCCAGCGACGAATCGCTTTACATCCTCTTCACTAGCCTGCACCTCCAGCTTTAGCCCTTCATTAAACATGTCAACAATCTCTGGGATAAAACGCGAAGTGGCCATTAGGCGAACGTCACTTTCCGCCTGAAGACCGCGGAGTTTGGCTAAAAACTGGCGCCGAGTGCCGTCGCTGTCTAGACATTCGTCCAGAGCATCAACCACAATATAGACAGTAGAGTAACGTTTAAGTACATCTAGGAGTGCACCGAAGACCTCATCAGGTGATGGCCTGGTTCCTCTGTTAGCATGCTGTTTGTACAACCGTTCCACGGGATCCACTAGTGACAGTCGAGCCTGCACCAGCTGCTTAAGGATAGCTGCCAATATCCTCGAAGTATCCTGCTCCTCCTAAGCCTTATAGTTGCAGTACACGTAAGCAACTCCATATGAGCTGCTCTGCACTAATTTTAACAGATGGTCGATCGTGATGGCGGCTACCATGGTCTTGCCAGCTCCCGGGATACCTGGGCAGAAGAGTCTTGCCTGGGGTTCACTAAGCCACGTGGCCACCTGAGGCGCATCTAGAAACCATTGGCCTGTTCCCTCCTATCTGCGATTTATGATGTCGGATTGTTGTGCGGGGTAGTCTGTGGGAGAGATCCATTCTAGAATCCTGCGGTGCTTCGCGGCGTCTTGATGTTACTGGATCTCTTCTACACCTGACTGGATGACAGGTACATGTGTCCGAACGAAGTGGGTATCTTCTTTAATAGCTTTAGAGAGTTTACTTTAGGATGTAAGCAATATCACTCTACCGTCCTAGTAGGGAAGCTTACAAGTAGTCTATCTGCAACGCGATCTCTACGAGCGACTTCAAACGCTCTATTCGATCTAATATACTAGCAATCTCCTCTTTCTTAAACTTCCACACGAGCGCTTCACCTAATTTCTTTAACCAACCTCTATCTGTAATCTTAGTCTGCAGCGCTTCAAGCGCCTGCTTGAACTAGTCGAATGGGCCCTTAGGAGCTGCGAGCTCTGCGATGGCGGTACACCACAGCTGGCTTAGATCTCCTGTCTGGACGTAATCTCGCAAGGCACGAAGTAGGGTGGAAAGGTTCGATATCTCAGCCTCGCAGTGCGAGCGTTCTTTCGGGGCATCTCTAACGTCGCTTAGGTACTCGAGGACCTTGGCTGAGAGCTGGAGAACTGCGATGATGCTGGCTGTGACGCTGAGCGGATCCATGTCGTGAAATCCACAGAGGTGGCAGATGCGTATGGAGGGAGGCGTGAATGGAGGAAGAATGCATTGTCTGGGCGGAGGAGCTGAAGCGGGAGCGTTAGGCTGAGGGATTGCGACTGCAACAAGGCTGAACAGCTCGTCGTGCTGCGCCGCACCTTATCGATAACGCCAAATTGTCATCGCCTCAGCGCTTCTCTACTGGTGAGGCACGTGAGGCCACAATATAGCTTTGGGTCTAATGCATTTCCAAAATCCGTAAGGTAGTTCATCCATTGCGTCAGTCATCTGTATATCAGCGAGGTTACAGTAATAGCAGCGGTCGTTACTAGCGTATATCCCGCCATAGAGGGGAAACATTTATATAAGCGTATAGAGTTCTAAAATATCACTTAACAGTGCAAGTTGGTTACTTGTACTGAAAGCGTTATGAGCCCTGCGCCTCGATCGACTAATTTAGAGTAGCTCTGCTGGCTCGAAGCTACTCTAATAAGGTTAATCATCTACGATTAAGGGTGTGGGTAAGGCTAAACTGTTAGAAGCAGGAACTTAGCCACATGCAAGAAAACACACTAATCGCTGTGGGGTGGGCATTAGCCTCATAATCGTCCTAGCCAAATAACGGTAGATCGGCTACTTCTAGAACTACGAAGTTGGCGTTGAAGATTCGCCCCTTCAGCATCGTTAAACTGAGGAACTCCTCCAGCGATTGATTGATTGGTTGATTGATTGTATCCTACTCGGTTTCAGCCGTGATCTCCACAGCTATGCCCGGCTGGCAGGCTTGGCGGACAGTCGACGCGTCGCAGAGACTTTGTTCCGCGCCGCCCCACTTCACCCCCGAAAACAAGGGCCATCTGTCCCGAGCGGCTTGCCGTTTCCCTTCAACGACTATTTAAATATGCTTGCCCGCCCATCTAGATACTGGTTCTACTAACTAAATGCTGCGCTTCTAGGTTCGTAGAGGTATCTGCATCGTGTTTTGCGGCCGCGGTACTTCCAGTCTCCCCCCAGCACTCGGCTGTCGTTCACGCATCTCTGATCCCCATTTGCCCAAGGATCTGCGTCTGCTCTATAAACTCGATGGCTTTGGTGGCTAGCTGTGGCTTGTTCAGGACGGCCCGAGGTTGTGTCGTCCAGAGAGGTTTTCGAACACCTGGTTGCGGAGGTCCTTATGAATCCTGGATCGGAGCGGGATGTGAGCGGCCGTCTGTCTTCTCTCTCCGCACTCGCATCGTGCGCTGACGACCTCTAGCATTCTTCGGTTGAAGAGGAAGTCGTTCAGTCCAATCTCTTCTGTTCGCATCTGGACCAGCAGAGCGCTTTCGCGCTTGCTAAGGTTCTCGTGTAGTTTAAGCACCTTTTTTGTGGGCAGAGGTGAAACTCCTCCAGCGACGCTAGTAGTAAGCTCAAGACATCAGGTGACTTGTTGTTTTGAGCTTATCTCTATTCGGCTGGCTTAGTATCCAAGATTATGTCAGCGCTACTGATTGGTGCATTAGGTACGGAGGTACCAGGCCGTCTGGCGATCACGCACGAATCAGTCAAGAAACCAGCCCCTACAGCTGGCGAGTAGGCCTAAGCGATTTTATCGAATACATAGACGTGCACAGAAACGACAGACATATTGCGACGGATAGAAATGAGGGTAGTAGCCTTAAAAATCGCGAGGCGAATTATTGAGATGAAGCAGGTCTCTTCGCGTATCTGGAAGGAAGGTGTCTACACTATTGTAATTTTTGTATTGGTGGGCATACACCGACTCAAAATCGATTCTAGTATGTACTTAGATAGGCCAACATAATTATTATGATGTATGTAGGTTATCATGGCGCTGCAAAGTTGAGGTACCTGCAATTTTGTCCGTCACGGCGGTTGTTCCGCTACGAAAGGATGTACGTTATATATACACTTCCTTTTTTTTTCTCTACGGGGGGTGTTTAAGAGATTGTGCGGAATGATACCGCGAGCAAACTACTGTATCTCCTCCAGTGACAGTGTGGATGCGTGTTAGCTGACTAAAAGATCCAGCAGACGATTTGTTGGACAGTTATGGGACATGTTGCGTGAGGATTCTTTTGAATCCAAGTGACGGTGTCATGCTATTCTTTCTATCTTGTAGTAGCCAAGACAAACTACCCTTGTTGGCGGTGGTTTTCATACTAAGTGTTTATGCTGGCAAGATTCTACGTACATAGATTGAACATATAGGGAACGGAAGCAGAAAAGGTCCATTAACATCCGCTTAGTAAATGTTCGCTATGCACTTTATGTGAATAGAGATATTAATTATGGCTATTGTCATTGACGACAGAAACTTTTTGCTCATTACATTGATGGGCCAACCGTGGAGCAGGTGTAGAGGTCTATCGAATCCACGCACGATCTTCCCTTTGACGATTCGCTTGCTTCTATGGTAACAGCAGCGGTGGCATTTTCGCCAGGCATCCTGTATTTCTTTGTCCTTGATCACCGTGTGGCTACGAATGCGACTTGGTACGCTCTTACTGAGGATGCTTTGAAGAATCCGTTTAAAGCGAGGGAGCAGTGGGTTGGGAGTGTTAAGAAGATTCTCTATGGGGGAATGGAAAAAGTAAATGAAAGTGGGAATGGAAAAAATGATGCATCTGCTAACAGGTTGTTGTAGACTAAAGGTGCTATTGCAGTGGTTTCTCCGACAGAGTCTTTGGTTTTTCTGCCAAACTCGTTTGCGGACGAGATACGGAATATGAAGGAGCTTCACTTTGGCAGACATTTGATACAAGTGGGTCAAGTTTCATTGAAAGCTATCTGGTAGTTAGATGTAGCTGACTGTGGCACTTATGATAGAACGCGTTGGGTCATTATCAGGGATTGGCTCCGTTTTTGGTGGTTGACCAACACGACATTACTCAAGAAGTCGTCCGGCTTAATCTTACCCGATCTTTGAATATTTGTGTACTGCAAGTATTACGTGGTATATAGAGTACTCACATCTATATATAGTATCACTGAAGACATGAACACTGAAGTCGAAGCCGTTCTCATGAACATGCTAGGCAATGTTCAAGGTATACGCTGTCATTCGTTCAAAGGCATTACACACTAACGAGACTTCTCCATAAGACTGGAAAACCATAAATCCTACACCCCTCATCCACCGCTTAGTCGCCCGCATCTCTTCCCGCGTCTTCCTTGGCTCGGAACTCTCAGACAATGCCGAATGGATCGGCATAGACATAACCTACACTGAAAACTCCATGAGGGCAATCTACAAACTCCGTAGCTTACATCCAATCTTCCGACCCATTGCGCAATGGTGGATGCCCGCCCTTCGCATATGCAGACAGCAAGTCGCCAAGTCCCGCGAAATCGTCAATTCACTCGTTCAGAAACGTCTACAGAGAAAAGCCAACGGCGATGATACTGAGAAAACTGCTGATATGATTAGCTGAATCGACGACAAGGCCAGGGCGAAGAAGATGACGATTGATTTTGCCGAGCTACAGCTCTTCCTCCCGTTCGCGACTGTGCATACTACGATGGAAATGATATTCGGGTTAATGTGCAACCTGATCGAGAATGCGCACTGGATACCACAAATCAAGGAAGAAATAATGTCAACGCTCTCGGAATGCGACTGGAAAAAGACGTCGTTGGCTTCGATGAAGCTCCTCGATAGCGCGATGAAAGAATTGCAGCGCTTGTATAAGTTGACTGATGGTAGGCCATAGTCTCCAGTTTTCACTATGTATATGTAACGATTTTGAAGTCGGAATGCAACGCGTAGTCCTGTCCAACACAACCCTCTCTAACGGCACCATCATCCCCAAAGGCTACAAACTCGCCGTCGAACACCGCTTCTCAGACCCGACTCTCTACCCCAACAGCAAGTTATTTGAAGCAGATTGGTTTCTCAAGCTGCGCGATAGTGATCAGACTCGGTGGCAATTTGTTACAAGATCGCCTGAGCATCTGGGATTTGGTTACGGAAAGCATACATGCCCTGGTCGCTTTTTCGCTAGCAATGAGATTAAGATTATTGTAGTTTACTTGCTTGTTAAGTACGATTGGGGGTTTCTGGAGGAAGGCCAGTTACCGACGCCTTTTGCTGGGGTGGAGTATATTTTCAATGATAAGCAAAAGGTTGTGGTGAAGAGTAGGCGGGAGGAAATTGATCTGGGTTGCCTTTAAACTGTACAATTGTATATTAGAGGAGAGATGAAAGAGTGCAGTCCATAACTTTGGTGGCTAGTTGCAACATGTTGAGAATTGTCCCAAGGCTGTGTCGTCCGGATAGATCGGCAAAGATGCGGTTCCGGGGTCCTTGTACTGACTACAGTGCAGGAGGAAGTGGGCGACGATCTGCCGTCTCTCTCCACAACGGCTGCGGGGACTGGTAACGGACGGACCATGTCGATTGGAGAGGAAGTCGTTGAGGTCTATCTTCTTGGTTCGCAGATGCATTAGCAGCGCGCCCTCCCTTTTGCTGAGATGCAACACTTTCTTGGTGAGCGTCGGCGTGTGCCTGTATATCGCGCTGTCTTCCCTGTCTGCTAGTATCTTATAACACTTTCTGAACGATGTTCTAGGTGGGTACAGCTGCGAAGGTGGTGTGCAGTGCCGATAGAGTGTCTGGTCTCATGTGTACGGACAGTGTCTACTGTGTGAGTGGCATACCTCTACCGTCGGTGTGGATGCTGAGGCTGTTGTCTGTTGCGCATTCTGCGTCGTGGCGGTCTCAGGCCTTGTCTGTGTTGCCGGCGATTCAGGTATGTGGCCCTCGCTGCTATGGAGGCGTGATGTGCGCTTACCTGTCTAGGTTACGCATTTGCTTGCTCCTCAACGCTTCGTAGACTTTCTGCCAAGTACTCTTGTGTGCGGGTTGTTGTCCTCGCTATGATGGATCGAAGTGATAGTGGTGACGTTGTGAATCGTGAGGCTTATTATTGGGATGAGTTATGTGTCTTGGCATATCTGGGAGGAAGGTATCTACACTACTGTAGACTTCACGATGGTAGACATTTGTTCACTCCAAATAGACCGTCGTATATACCTGAGTAGACAAATATACCTTCCACGGTGTCTGCAGGCTACAATACTGCTATGAAGTTCAGTGCTTGCAATTTTGTCCGTTATGGGGGTCGTTCCGTTACAAAGGGATGTAAGTACTTGTATGTCAGCTACATGAGCTTATCTAAGATAGGTAAAGCGCGTTTTCAGTGTGATACAATACACAAATGATATATGTCTTGGTCGCATCAATGTCTACTACGCTGCGCCTCAACGTCGCCTTGTAGTCTATGGAAGGATACTAACGTAGAGCATTTCCATAAGGGGGCAGGCTGGGCCTGATGGTGGACTAAGCCCGATATGCTCAGGGGTCCCTAGTCGTGATGGCGGCCAACGGTTTCACCAGGTAGTGTGCATCTTCGAAATCAAGCCACCTATGGGAGGGCAGCCTGGGGAGATGATGATGGGGTGTGTGTGGTGATGCACCTTCAGCCGCACGAGTGTGGAAATACTACGTCGCTGTGCATGGTCCGAAATTGGAATAATCTAGCAACAAAAATAAAGAAAGTTTTTGGTGCTAGGACAAGGCCGCACGGGGGCGGGCGGCCGCAACGCACTGGACGGTCTTCAACGACTTTGGACAACAAGGGAGAGGCATGGGCAAGATCGTCGCAATGGCCTCGACCTGTGTGGACGAAAAAGGGTGTTGGCAAGAATGCAATACGAAAGTGCATGAGGAATGACCTCGGACAATAATTGGGATGCGGAGCCTGAATGTTATATTTAGCGTGTCCATGGCCCAGTAGCGCGGCGGGCGGCCCCCTTTGGCTTAGTTTGCCTCCGCCGTCCGCTTGCTGATGCTGCTCTGCTGCCACTGCGCGCAAAGACCAGCCAGGCCCGGCTCTCCTTTCATCAGCCTTGAATCATCCACAAACTCTCTTTCCTTCCCTCTCGCCGTCCCGCCTCACCCTCGTTCCCACCCCACGCCTCCCGCATCCTCTCCGTCAGGAATTCTACCCTTCGCCAGTCACTCGTTTCAGCGGACGAAGGAGTACCCTCTTCACGGCTTGCGTAATCCCTTTTTACCCTGGCGTCGCACCTGCATCCGCCCTAGTTGTTGACACTACTCCCGCCCCCCCGAATACTTGCACTACCACCCACCCGCTCCTCGACAGCCTCTTGCCCGCTCCTCTGCGCCTTCACTCGCTCAACTTCTACGCGACCTCTCCCCGGCCCTTCGAAACTCGACAAAGAAACAATATAATCCCTTTTTAGCTTTTGGCATTAATTTCTTGGCAAACATGAGACCAGCTCGGATTCTCGCGGCCGTTGTGGCCATGTCCTCCGTTACGCATGCTATTTCGGATGCTTTTGACAATATTCATGGCCTGGCTGACGTCAAGGAGGTGCTTTTTGGACGACAAGACAGTATGTTCTTACCTAAATGAAGTCAGGCCATCTCCTGGTATGGATACTAATGGCATGACCTATAGACAACAACAACAATAACAATAACAACAACGACAACAGCAAGACAGATGCCCCGGCGAGCACACCAGCCCCCAAGCCCACGGGTGATAGCAACAACAACGACAATAATAATAACAGCAGCAATAACAACAACGACAACAAGACCAGCAACAACAATGACAACAAGAGCGGTGACAACAACGACAGCAAGACCGCATCCGACCCCAAGGAGACCGGAACACCCACAGGCAAAGAATCGGGCAGCAAAACCACCAAGAAGCCAACAAAGTCCACAACCTTCGACCCCCGACTCCCTGCCGGTGGTATTACCATGGTCACCCCAGACGCTCTTGCTGGTTCACAATTCTACAAGGTCGGTGACTACATCACATTCGCTTGGAACTACACCTCCCTCTCGGTCACCCCCACAGCCATCGACGTCCTTGCCTCCTGCACCGCCAACCAAGCCACATACACCATCGCTGTCAACATGTCTTCCGCCGAGACACAGGTGGTATGGAACACCAAGGAGACACCAGAGGGCCAGGCACCCTTCTTGACCGAGAACTACAAGCTCCTCATCTACGACTCCAACTCGACTGCCACTGCACCACCGCGAGCTGGTTACTTGGGTGCTTTCAGCGGTTTCACCTTTGGCATGTACCTGCCCCAGCCATACACCTCCCTCAAGGGTAAGTCTTCTTCTCTTCTTTTCTCTGGTAAACCCCATGGACTAACAAATTACAGATGGCTGGAACTGCCCCAACTGCAACTCCGCCCTGTCAAATCTCGAACGAATGACGCTCACAACCATGCTCTTCACCTGCGGAACAACAGTCGGTTCGCTAGTGTACTTCACATATCAATTTGGCCTGTGGTGATGAAGCAATCCAGTCTGGCTCGACTTCATCCCGATTTAGCCTCTCCGTCACACCCCCTTTCAGAGACGCTCAAACGCAAAGACTCGATCCTTGGTCGCTTACGATAACGGCATTCCTTCTTTACGCTTCACTCCTGTCGATATATCTACGTGTACACACAGCGCATTTTCATCACTCCTTTAGGTTACTTGTTTTTAAAGAAAAAAATTGGCAGCATCTTGGTGGGTGTTGCAACGGCCGTTGGTCTCGGTTTATTGTTGTTTTTTTGCCTCTCGACCGACTTGCACAAAGCCAGACGACGGAGCCAAGGCAGATCCCCTAGCCACACTCCTTTAGTCTTTTTTTGGGAGGGGCAGTAAAGTTCAGGGTACCCAAGCATCCGGCGCTGCAAAGGAGTTTTTTTGATTTAGGTTGTCATTTAGGAACGGAAAATGGGGAAGGACAAGCCGAGAAGATGTTCTTGTGAACCTATGAACCATAGGATAATATTTTGCCGTGTAGCAAAGGCGGGGGAGAGAGAGCAGAGAGGGGAGAAAAAGATGAATACGAATTTTAGTGCCCTCTTGGGACTGTCCCTTTTTTCTTGTGCAAATCTCATAATCTACTGGCACCACACTTTATATTCTGTCATGTACACGACATATCAGGAACATTTTGCTATTGTTTTCTACATCTCTAGAATACATGTCTTCCAAGCAGCAATTGTTGACGTTCATCAGTAAATGTTACATAATTCCTCCGCACACCCACCCAATAAGTAACATTTGAAAAAGAATAAAATATCCTGTAAAAATAAAATGGTCATAAAGAAAAATCCCGAAACGGGCAAATGGTATCTTGCTAAGCACACCTCATGGGACCCCTACGCTAGGATCGCCAGAGTAAATAGACGAGAAGAAAAGAAACGATGGAAGAAAAAACAAAAAGGGGGCTCCTCCGTTCATCCGTCCATCCCAGGGAATGAATCGCACAGAAAGAGAGAGAGAAAAAAAATTGACCCTGCAGCGAAAGATGATCTGGGACCTAAACTTGCTTTCCTTCCCTTCCCTTCCCTTCCCCCATTTTATACATATCCACAAGTTCATACATGTCTACCCCCGACGAAGACTCGACGCCCCCCTCGCAGGAGGAGGAGTCCTCCACTCATCCTTGAGCACCCACCTCCCCCTCTGCGCACTTCCACTCTTCTCCAGCGTAGCAATCAACTTGAGCATTTCCTTGAACTCTTCGTTTCTGCCAGGCTGCGCACGACAGTAGTGATCAAAGTGGTCGACGAGCATGCGGCTGGGCACTGTGCCGCTGTGCGTAAGCATAAAGTCACGGATCATTTCGAGCATGCGGCGGCCCCGGAAAGTCTGGGGCGTCGTTGTGGTAGTAGTATTAGTGGTGGGGGCGTCTGATGTCGTAGTGCTGCTGCTGCTGCTGGGCACTGGTCGGCCTTGACGCGCGGCGAGGTTGTTGAGGATCGAAGTTGAAGAGGGGAGGCCGCCACGAGCACCTCCGCGTCCACCGCGTCCACCGCGCCCAGATGGGCCTCCGCCGCGAGGGGCGTCGGGGCGTCCTGCTTGGCCGAATTGGCCGGTCCAGGTTGGGGTTCCTGCGGGCACGTTTCTCGCTTCCTCCATGCTTTTCTTCAGCTGCTCGGCTGCCAGGGCGGCCTGTCGCTTTGCTTCACGCTGGATGTAGGCAGGATCGGCTTGCACTTTGCGTTTGCGTCCGCCGGCTGTCGAGTTCATAATGGCGTCGTGCTCAAGCACCGAGTGGACGCCGGTTTTGGCGAATATGGTTGACATGAGACGGGAATCTGCGGGGGTTTTCTCGTCGGCAGCAGTCCCATCTTCGTTCGTAGTGGGAGTCTCTTCAGAATCGGAAACGGGAGCCTTGAAAGCTTCGGATCGTGATATGCCTTTTACAGCTGCGAGATCTTTCGCTGCTGTAGCATCGTCTTTTTCCTCTACTGCGGTTTTGCCATTCTCTTCGAATTTGACTTCAGAGCCACGGAATAGGTTACCGGTTTCTGTCTCCCCCTCTGCACTCTCAACACCAAGTGTGAACAAATCGTGCAGATCACTCATCTGGAACGTCTGTCGCTGTTTTGGGTCTTTCAGCACTTTATTGGTCAAGAATTGTTTGAAGATTTGACGATGGTAGATCTTCTCTTCGATAGTACCAGCCGACATAAGGCGGTAGATCTCGACTTCTCGCTTCTGTCCCAGACGCCAAGATCGCTCTCGAGCCTGAATATCAGTCGACGGATTCCAATCTGGGTCGTATATGATAACACGATTGGCACCTGTGAGATTGACACCGAGACCGCCGACTTTCGTGGTGAGTAAGAAAACATGAAGGTTCGGATCTGTGTTAAACTCGTCCACCATGTTTTGTCGATCCTTGATGGGCGTCTCGCCATCCATTCGGCGCCAGTTGATGTCAGGAAGCTGGCTAATGAATTTTTGCAGGATGTCAAGCATGATGCGGTGCTGGGCAAAGAGTAGCGTTTTGTGTCCGCCCTTCTTCCACAAGGATAGTAACTCCTTAACGACCTGCATCTTTCCCGATTTATTGGCATTGCCATAGTCGTAACCAGGCTTCTTGGACAAAGTCTTGTGCTCCGTAAGGTCAGGATGATTGCATATTTTGCGAAGATAGTCGACGCCGTAAAGCATCTGGCGCTTGCCGTTTGCGATTGATCTCATATCCTCTGATGCTAGAAAGGATTCGTAAGCTTGTCGCTGCTGTTTTGTCAACTTACAGAACAGCACTTGTTCTTTCTTCTGAGGCAGATCGGTTGCAACATCAGCCTTGAAACGTTGGAGCAAGTATGGGCTAACAGCATCTTTCAGGGTTTCAGCGCATCGAACAGCAGTCTCAAACTCTAGATTCGAAGCATTTGCATATCCTCCACGTTTGATTGGAAATTCGAACTGGTTGCGAAAGTTGACAAGGGTACCAAGCCGCATAGGGAAAACGAAGTCGAACAGTGACCAAAGTTCCGTCAGATTGTTTTGCATTGGAGTTCCCGAGAGGATGATGCGGTTTGGTGTACGAAGCTCCTTGCAGTGGATAGTAATGGCAGTGTTGGGGTTCCGAATCTTGTGTCCCTCGTCTAAGATGGCGCATTCCCATTCAGTCGGAATCAGAAACTCGGCGTATGTTTGCAGCCCTGAGTAAGTGGTGACGAGTACGTGTCCGTCCCGCTTGACCTTTTCGAGTATTTTCTTAGCAGCTTTACCCGCGCCAGTCAGAGTCGTGTCGTAGTCGCCATAGTTCCGAAGCTCCATCTCTCGTTCTAGGCGGTCTTCGCGTCGGGTGTCTAGCATACCGCTACCAGATGTATGGAGGATAGAGACCCGTAGAGCCGGCCACCAACGGTGAAACTCATTAACCCACTGCTTCATGACAGTTGCTGGACAAACTACGATAACAGGCTTGGTAAGTAGCTTCGAATAATGGAGGCCTGCAACGAAGCTGACGGCCTGTATTGTTTTACCAAGACCCATCTCATCTCCAATGATACCACCCACGTTTTGAGAATACAATTCCCATAACCACTGCACACCCGTCTTCTGATAGTCGAACAATGCTGGATAGATATCACCGGGAATTCGAAATCCACCATCGAACTCTGCATCGGCTTCAGTAGGATGAGGCTGGTAACACTCTTCTTCTTCTCCTTCTTCCTCCGCAGTTGCCTGACCACTATTGGCTTTCGCCTTCTTTCTTGCAGCTGCTCGGTTCTTTGACCAAGTCTCTACACGTTTCCTGTAGACTCGCTCATTGCCGTCATCAACACCTGCAAGATCCTCAACCACTGCTTCTTCTGTAGATGCAGCTTTGGCTTGCTTCGGCTTTTTGCCCTTGGCTTTGCGCTTGCGACCGGTAGCTTCCTCTGCATAGGAGTCATCTTCTGCCGTGTCTTGCACCTCTTCGTCCGACTCATCTAACGTCGCAAGTTGGCGATTGGTCATACCAGGCTCGAAGGCATCATCAGAGTCCGGGTCTGTAAAACCGAGGTCTGCACCGGACTCGCTAGTAGGAGTAGCCTTCCTTCGCTTCCTAGACCGTGTTGGAAGATGTGGACTGGGAGCTTCTGAACTTGACTCGACGTCCTCAAAGCCAGGCTTCATCAGATTACGGTGGGAAACAGGTCCTTTTGCTGCCTCAACCACCATGTCTTCAACCTCGGCATCCAGCATGACCTCCCCTAGGGTCCCCGAGCCCGGTTGATTCTGCGCCAACTTGGAGAAAGGTGTAATTTTTCCTGTGCGAATAAGCCACTCGCGCTGTGTTTCATTGGGCAGGGGCCCATTTGCGCTATCTCCCGCTGCTTCATCTGCCCCGGGTTCTTTGTGGCGATCGTTGATGCGCTGTTGTATGCCATCCATCTCTTTATCCAGGTCGTCGATCTTCTGTCGATATGCTGCCATCTCGCCACGGAGTTTTGCCTTTTGTGTATCGATAGCTGGTAAAGCCAGACGGTTTTTGAGCTTCTGTACAGCAGCCTCTGCTCGCTTTGCCTCAGCCTCCAGCTTTTCTATACGCTTTTTGTCCCGAGCATCTGCCTGCTCTATGAGCATCTGGTCGGCCTGTCGGCTAATATCTCGTTCCAAGTCATCTTGTGCTCGGGTACCGGTTGTCAGGAATTTGAGTCTCTCTGTTTCGTCCGCATTGGAGGCGATGTCTTCGTCTGGGACCTGATTGCCATCGTCGGCTGGAGCGTCGTCAATTGTGTTGGCAGGCGCCACAGCTGACGCTTCGTGTGCAGAAGGCGACGACATTTTGAGGACGGACTTTGAACAAGAGGCAGGACTTTGAAGGGATCTACCGTAAGCCAAGACGAGTGAAGACTGGCTGGTGAGGCCCCGCCACTGTCAGGTTGAAATCAAGGGAAGGTGCGCTGAAGGCAACAGCGGGCAGGCGCACAGCGGGAAGGGACGCAAGCCAGAAGGCTATGGTATAGGTGAAGGCATCGCGATAAAAAAAAATAGAATGTTAAAGAT